CCTCGTCTAATAGAGTATAAGACCGCCCATTTCAGCAGGGGTCCTGCTCCATGACTGGAGAACGCTGCACAGAGAGGACGGGAAGAATCTGAACAGCTGGCCTTGCGGTTTTGCCTCCCTCCCCTATTCACGGTGGGTCACAGTCCTTTTCCCCTGCATTCCTGGAGGTTGAGCCCAGGCTTTCCCCACATGCTGTGCAAGCACTCTTTTTTTTGAGACAGTCTTGCTAGGTAACCCTGGCTGGCCCAACCCTCACAGCAATCCTCCTGCATCAGCCTCTGGGTGCTGGAATTACAGGTGTGTGTCACCATGCCTAGCCTTTGCAAGCACTTTGTATCACTGGCTACACTCCCATTTGTTTTTATTTGCCTATATATTTAGTGGTAGGAGGGACGGAACCCAAGACCTTTGCCCTGAGCTACAGCCCCACCCTTTAAAATTTTTTTATTGTAAGATAGGCCCTTGCTAAGTTACTAATTGTCCAGGGTGGGCTCTAACTTGTGCTCCTTCTGCCTCGGCCTCCTGAGTACCTGACAGTACAGGTGTGTGTTGTACCTGGCTAGATCATATCCTTTTTGTCCAATCATATTCTTTTCTTTTGTAGTTTCATGTTCACTTTGGCCTTGAGTCATTTATTGAATGTGTCTGGATCCCCACTTTGTCTCTTGCTCTCTCCATCCTTCCCCCAGAGAGGAGGAGGAGCCCCTACACCTCAGGGGCCTGTTTCTAGGCTGTTTCACACAGTAGAGTTTTTGTTTGTTTATAATTCAAAGTTCCTTCACTTTGATGACTTCTACTCCCAGCTTCCTTTGGGGAACATGGGGAGGAGATGATATTACTTTTTTTTTTGTTTTATGAGATAGGGTCTTATTACATCGTTCAGGCTAACCTTGAACTCACTATGTAGCCAAGGCTGGACTCGAACTCCTGGAAATCCTCCTGTCTCAGCCTCCTGAGTGCTGGGATTTCAGGCATGCACCACCATGCCCACCTTTGCTATTATATTTGTATTTTACAATTGGGAAAATGATCTAGAGATTTCATGTGTTCATGGTTAGTTGCCCTTGAAACTGGGGGAACACAGGTTTTTCGGAGAGTCCCAAACCACATCTCTACCCTAGACCATGTTTCTGGGTCCAGATCCTCGCTTCACGGCCTGCCTACCACTTCAGTTAGCTGTCCCTCGGGCACCTCCAGGGTCACAGCTGGCCTAGACCTGGGTCTCCTCCGCTTCTCAGTGCCACTGAAAGCACCGCCACACCTGGTTTCCTGACAGAAGTCAGGTTCCCCTAAATGACTCCCCTCACGTTTCCAACTTCCACACTCCACACCTCCCTCAGCCAAATCACTCCCAAACCTCAATTTTTTTTTTTTTTTTTTTTTTTTGTTGTTGTTGGTACCAGGGATCAAACTCAGACCACGTGCTTACAAGGCAGGCGCTTATGAGGCTGAGCTAAATCCCCAGCTCCCCAAACCTCAAATTTGCATGATTTTTTAAAGGAGTTATATATATATATATGTATGATAAAAAGTCTTTTTTTTGTCTTTTGAGACTTGCTATGCAGTTCAGGCTGGCCTTGAGCTCTGTAGCCCAAGTTGGCCTTGAACTTGCAGTGATCCTCCTACTTCAGCACCCCCCCCCATCCCAGTGCTGGGATTACAGGTGTGGACCACCATACCTGGCTATTTATTGTTTGTTTGTTTTGAGACAGAGTCTCATTATGTAGTTTAGGCTGGTCTTAATCTATCTAGCCCAGGCTGGCTTCGAACTTACATGGATCATCTAGTCTCGCCTCTGGAAGCCTGGTATTACAGGTGTGTACCACCATGCCCAGCCCTAAATATATTTTTAAAAGTCCTTTTTGCCAATGACCACAATCTTAATTCTTGGGTCACAAAATCACTCCCCTGTCTGTACTGGGTACTGCCTAGAACTTCAATCCCTAGGCCGAAATGTGCTTTTCCAGCCTCTGGGTGTTTGCACACTCAGCCTTTGTCTGGTTCTCTGGCTTCCCAGCCTACTCCCTAGTGGTATAGGGGATTGAACCCCAGGACACTGTGCACTGATTTACATCCTCGAGCCCCTCTTTTTAATTTTTGAGACAGGGTCTGGCTCAGTGGTCCTGCTAGGCTTGAACTTGTGACCTTCCTTCCTCCTAAGGGCTGGGAGTCCTGGTGTGCACCCCCGTGCCTGGCCAGCTTCCCAGCCTTTCAATTCCCACTCAATTCTGGATCTGCAGTGGTGCTTGGTACTCACTGGCAATAGGACCCAGGAGGCACGACGGGTGCCAGAAATAAGACATACTGAACGGGCTTGACTGGCAAGGGAAGGCAGTTGGTACCCACGGATTGTAGCTTGTGCCTTAAGTGCTAAACATGAGCACTGGGACAACGTGTTCATGTCAAAATGCATTCATTAGCAAATTGGACCAGTTTCAAAGCAGTCAAATACCAATGTTTAATTAAAAACGGTAACAAGCCCGGCCTGGTGGCTCAGGCCTGTAATCCCAGCACTTGGGATGCTGAGGCAGGAGGATCCTTGTGAGTTCCAGACCAGCCTGGCTACAAAGTGAGCTCAAGGCCAGCCTGACCTGCATAGCGAGACCCTGTCTCAAAAAGACAAAAAACAAAACAAAAAAACGGTAACAAAATGACAAAAATACACCACAAGAAAACATCCTCAGTAACCCGCTCTGCGCTCCTACGCTGGGATTCAGGTGCCTATTTTGCTTTCCTATCAGTGCAGGCTGGATTACAGGCATCATGGGGGTCTGGTGCATGCACAGAACACATCTCAATGCTTTTGACCTCACCTCCCCTGCTTCCCCCTCCCTCATCTCTTGGTCCTCTTCATGTTTGCAAAGGCTTTCTCTCCCTCTTTCCTATTATTTGCTCTTTAAATTATTTATACATTGGGTTTCTCATACACGAGAGGCCACGCGCCTGCTCTTCTAAGTGCTCCTGTGGTGGCCTGTGTGCAACCTTGGTGTTCCTTCTGTTCTCCTCCTGAGAATGCAAACTCCTGGCACTTGGCTCAGTGCCTGGCTTTGGTAGGCGATCAGTCGAGAAGATGTCAAATAGTGAATTCTGCCCTCTTGTTTGCTAGTCAAGTCCCATCCCGGGCAAGAGGACAGCACACGATTCTAGTTCTTTGCGACCTCTCAATTTCAGTCTTGTCGGCAACACCTCTGTTCATGGCTCCTCGTGCTTTGCTCGTGGATGGTCCACGCCAAGGCCCATTCTTAGGGGAGCGGCCGGGCTGGACAGGACTCCACTACTCCAGGCCTGAGGGCCTGCACTGAGCCTTCTTGCCAGCAGGTGGCACTCGAAGCCCACAAACCGAACCAGCACCACCCCGTCCCGCCGGCCCCCTAGCTGGCTCCATGCCGCCTTTTTCTGACCCAGTAGCAGCCATTGCCGGGCTTCTTCTTGTATGTCAAGATGAGGTTCTAAAATTTAAGTTCCAGCCCGGGGACTACAAGCTTCTAAAATAATGATTTTCAAAATCACGTACACCCGCAACCCCCTTTTCCTCAGTAATAATCTCATATTCTTTCTGCTTGTCTTGGATGATGCGGAACCCAGTCATCAGTGAAGCCCAGCAACTTGGGTCCTGTCTTGAGTTTCCCTTCCTGATGCCACAGACGGGATGGAGGAAAGAGAGGTGTTTTGTTTTTTAAAATAGCAACAACAAAAGCGAGGCATGGCTGTGGGTGTATGGGAGGGTCTTGTCAAGGCATCGCTAATGTCACTTACCTTGTCCGGGAAATATTTGGGTCTGAACTTTGTGGGTGACAATGTCATAATGGTACCAAGGAGAGCTTCTAAAGGAGGGGACAGTTGGAGCTGAGTCCCGAGGAGAGGGAGCTTGTTCTCTTTAGGTAAAGAAACAGTTTAAGTTTGGAAGACAAGCACAGACCAGCTTATGTGTTCCCCAAGTTCTTCCCAGCTCACACCCACTCTCTCGGGATTTTCCCTACCAGCACGCTCTCAACTCACCTGCCACCTGCCCCACGACGTCTGTGGAAGAGCCCCTGCTTCTAGGTGGCTCAGCTGGCACCTCCCAACACTCCCTTCACCTCCTGTGCCAATGTGTGGCTGTCTCCTCTCCAGGTGTGCCAGACTCTGGGTTTTGCACGGCTATGGGTGAGGCCAGTGCTCTCCCTGCGATGCCATAACTTCTGGCTGAGTGTGTCCAGGTCACTGGTAGGTCTACTCCTGGAGGGGACATCCCCACAGAGGCTGCCACCGGGCTCTTTCAGGATAGAGAAAGGAGAATAGGAGAGTGTGACTTAGACATTCCGGGGCAAATTTAAGAACTGTACCAGGCACAGTGGTGCACATGTGTAATCCCAGCACTCTGGATGCTGACACAGGAGGGTTGTTGCAAATTCAAGGCCACCCCGCACCTGCCCCTCCCCCAATTTATGAAGTGCTCCTGTTTTGCTAGGCTTAGGACAACTAGCAGTGCGAAGCCTACATTTGGACATGAGGGACAGCCCAAAAAGGAGTGAAAGGCAGGCGGCTGGAGATGGGATCTCCTTGGAGAGAACCGAAATTCCTGAAGGCGTGTTAGAAGTGAGGGAACTGAACAGCTGTCAGAAATGCTGTCTGGTGCCGCCGGGCAGCAGGAAGCCACCGCTCCTCTCCAGCAGAAGCACAGGTTCTAGGCGTTGCCACAGAGCTCTGTGGTAGCAGGGAGCACTGAGGCAGTGGCCTGCAGACCTGGGAGCACCCTCAGAGCCCAGAGCTTAAGCTATCTCTTACTGGGTGAGGCAGCCGTACACTGGCTACGCTTCTTCAAACTTAGGTTCACCCTACCGGATGGTTCCTCACGTACCCCACCACTCAACACAGCCCACCTCCAAGTACCCTCACTTTGTGCCTCAGGTTGCCTTGGGTCAGAAAGACTCAGACTCCAGAAGGAACAAAATGGGTCTGCGCTAGCAGGATCTGTAAAATGGGAGGAGCTCGGAGGACCATAAAATGAACCAGACAGGAGCCTTTGGGGATCTTTATTGTCAATCACTGAAGTGATAGTTTATGAGTGTTTGGGACAGAGGGCAGACAGGCCGGGAGCCTGCTGTGTGGCTGCAGAGGCCTGCTCTGGAGGGGAGATGATGCTCATGGGTGTTGGTGGCGGGGGAGTGACGGAGGACAAGGGACTGGGTCAAGCTGGATTGCAGCTGCTCATTAAGCACAGTCCTAGGGGACCTGAGAGGAAGGAAGGGAGTCGGGGGCCAGCAAAGAAACTGCAATACATTCGGAATCCGTGGCCCCCGAGCACTGCGTCTTCCTGCAGTGGAGCTCAGTCACTGTGTCTGGCAGGCCCTTCCTCGGGCCCAGGCTTCCTGCCAGCGTAAGGTGCCCAAATCCTCACCATCGCATCCATCACAGACTTGTTTTTGCCTGACAGAGAGTATTCCCAACTCTCAGCTTAAAAACAACCACAGGAGGGACAGCAAAGAATGTTCTGGTTACTGTAAATTCATGGCAAAGCGACTCAAGGACTCGCTCCCTCATGGGGTTGTGTGTGTGCGGAGGGGTCCTTGGATTCTTTACCCACAGGTGCCGCACGGATAGGGCTGAGGAAGGAGCCGAGGGCTTTGTGGGCTTTGAAGTGAGTCTGTCTGTGTGAGACCCTGTGGGTGTGGTCACTGGGAACAGAGCCCAGCAGAGCACAGGGACAGGGGAGCTGTGGGTCCTGAGGCTGATGGGAGGGAAGGAGCATGGAGGGCTACGCTGAGACTCTGCTCCAGGGGCTCCAGGGTGCCTGGCGTGCGGGAAGTGCCCCTCTGTAGTCTTGGGTTACTATTTGGGCAAAGCAAAGTCCCAGGCAGTTTCCTGTGCACATTTCCACATGGCCTGCATGAGGCGGGTGAAGCCCATGTCTTTGGGCTTCTCCAGGCCCCTCATCAGACGCTGCTTCATGATGGAGACAAATTCCTTATTGCTCAGCTCCCCGTTGCCTAGAGGAAGAGAGAAGCACAAGAGTGTGAGTGGAGGCCTTCGAGCACAGCCAGCAAGCAAATGCCACTGCCCATACCACGTGGCTCCAAAGCCCAGCTCCCTGTCGCGGCCGACGTGGCTCTCGGGCTTAGGATGAACGATGTCTCCACCTGCAGCTCAGTGACAGTGCATTGTGGTGTGACAAAGGCTGAATGAGAGTTCTGTGTACGCCAGGGCCTGTGCCAGGTGCTGAGAATAAAGTAAACAGGCTGTGTGTTTTGTCTCTTGAGATGTTCCCAGGGTGAGGGAGAGACGAATTCCGGCCACAGTGGAGGGAAGGGCTAAAGGGGCCAGCGGAGGACGCTCTGGGGCTCGGGGCAAGCGGTGTGGCTGCTGAGGACTACGGATGTCAGGTCCTGCTGGACACGGAGGTGGGGATGGCAAGTGAACACAAGGTCCCCAGTCGTGGTCCCCACCCGAGTGCTTCCTCCATCTCCCTCCCCTCTGCCTGACCAGTTCCTGCCTGCCCTTTGCAGTTCAGCTCCGGGGACACTTCCGAGAAACCCTCGCTGACCTGTGCTTGCACTGCCTGGCTGGGTCTGATCTGCCTCTGTGTCTACACTCTTTACCTGTATCCTAGACAGAGCTGTATTCACTTTCTGGAGGCATTAGAATATTTGGGTGCTCCTTAACTACTAAGCAACAAGTTGAGTGTAATAGTTTTTTTTTTGCAGTACTGAGGATTGAACTCATGACCTCGTGCTTGCCAGGCAGGTGCTTATGCCACTGAGCTAAATCCCTGACCCCAGTGTAATATTTTTGTATCCATTTTTTTTTTTTTTTAAAGAAAAGTACATTTATTTGGAACCACTTAGGATTGCAATTAGGGAAAACACAAATCCAAGCAATCTTGAAAATGTGACCCCTGTTTAAGATCCTTTAGGTCATAGATTAGTTTAGGCATCACAGGCAACCTGGAATTCCAAGAAATGTAGGGCACTTGCCTAGCAAATGGGAGGTCCTGGGTTCAATCCCCAGCACCACAAAACACAACAAAACAAACATAAACCCCACATGCACGAAGAAATGGAAAACACAAAACAGGGCCCAGGGTTCTATTTCTCAGTTTTGAGAGCTATTGAACACTGACGTGGGCCTTGAACACTGACGCTGGTCAGTAAGTCTAGAAGGGGGGCGAGGCTCAGGGTCCCCCCGACTCCAGAGACCCACTCACCGTCACAGTCAAAGAGCGCAAACACCACGTCGCACACATGGTCGGACAGCTCCACTTTGGCCACAGTCCTGGCCACCTGCTGCATGGTCACTGCAAGGTGAGAGGTACTCAGTTAGCACTGCAGGGTGGCTCCGTGCTGACTCTCTGAACGTGGGTGTAAACGGCTTGGCCCGAAGCTTCCAGCTGTGTTTCGGTTGTGGAAGAAAATGAGAATTTGATTTTTATCCACAACCCCCTGTCCTTTCTACCTCAGGTTTCATTCTTTTCTACTGCTTGAGAGGTTTGTACAGTTAATTAAGAATGCCTGATAGTAAGTCAACACAAACAGAAAGTAGAAGAGCTCAGGGTTTTGGGGAGCTTGTACTGACGGGCAGATTTTTTTGTCTGGGATAATAGAAATGTTTGGAAAATAGCAACAGCAGTTCTACAACATGGTGAACATGATTAATGGCACTGATTTGTACATTTAAAAATGACTAACACACACACACATATATATTTGAGACAGGGTCTCACTGTGCAATCCAAACTATCTTAGAACTTAGAACTTACAGGCACACCCATTATACCTGGCTTTTATTAATTTATTTTTTTAAAAGTCAGTATCTATATAATACTGTTAAAATTTTACATAATATTTAAAGATAGAACTTTAGTAGTCTACAGCATGCAGTGGCAACTTTTCTAATAAATTATCACAAGAGTTCCTTAAAAAAAAAGACACCCAGATACTGCTATGGCACTTGCCGGTGTCCTTAACATGCTCATCCTGCTGGAGGTGATGTGACAGAAGTCCAGGAACTCAGTGGCACCAAGGGAAGGGTGCTGGGGGATGAGGAGGCTGCTGCTCCTTCCTGCACACAGCTGATGCCCGCAGGTGAGCTCCTCACCCCCCCCCCCCCGCCCCTCCTTCTCCCTCCTGGCTTTGCCTCAGCTGCTTTGTTTTCTTCCAGCTGTGCCTTAGGGAAAAGCAGTGGCTCCTGTCTTACGAGATGGGTATGCAGTTTTTTGTTCTGTTTTGGGTGGTACTGGGGACTGAATCCAGAGCCTTTGAACTGAGATACATCCCCATCCATCCATCCATCCATCCATCTGTCCATCCATTCATTAACTTATTTATTTACTTATCTGAGAATGCGGGTCTCACTAAGTCATTAGGGAGACTGGGCTTGAACTTCTGATCTTTTTGCCTCAGCCTCCCAGAATGCTGAGACACTGGCATATACCGCCATGCCTGGCTAATATGCAGTTAAAAAAAATTGTTTTTGGTCTCAGTAGAAAAATTTTTTCTCTTGCCTCTTTCTTTCTTTCTTTCTTTCTGTTTTTGAGATGGTTTAAGCTGGCCTCGAACTTGCAGCAATCCTCCTGCCTCAGCTTCCCAAGTGTTGGGATTACAACTGCACACCACCACGCACTCTTGCCACTTTCTCTTTCTGTGCCATTTCCTGTTAAATACTAGTAGTCACATGAGAAAGACAATCTGGGAAGGATGAGGTAATTTCTACTGTCTTTTCTCTCATCCTCAAACCCAGTCCATGGCTCATATAAATTATGTTATTGCTAACAGACACACTTCTAGGTGAAGTGAAACTCCCAGTAAAGAAAAGGATTGTTTATGAATCAACCAATCATGAAGGGCTCTCTAAAATCATCATTAGATTCACTCAGAAGCAATGTGAACTTAAACTGGTGCCAGCATTCCTTCTTTCCTTCCTGTGATTTCCGTTCCTGTCACCAGCCGGTCTGGGCACTTTTCCTGCATTTGACCTTTCTTCACATTTGTTGCCTACACATATGCAGCACAGTACCAAGGCCAGCAGGTGGCAACAGCAGAGCCATGCCGAAGAGCAAGACCCATGCTGCAGAAGAAGGGCTGGATCGGGCTGCTTCCACTGCCCACTTTCTGTGAGCCCGATGCAATCGCTCAACTTCTTAAGAGATGGCGCATACTGGTGACCCAGCTTGGGAGGCTAAGGCAGCCTGGGCAACTCACTGAGATCCTGTCTCAAAACAAAATAGATACAAAAGGGAGGGAGCCGCAGCTCAATCCTCAGTCACACACACACACACACACACACACACGCACGCACGCACGCATGCACACACACACACACACACATGCACGTATGCGCACGTCTGGCCTGAGGGGAGGAGGCTGTCCAGTGGCATGGGAAGAGCCAGTTTTTTGTCAAGCAGCTGTGGGTTACTGCTCAGGCTGCCCTTCCTCCAGGATGTGAGTTCGGGTGAAGGAGGAATCCTTGGAAGTTAAAGACTTGGACAGAAGAGACTGTGGAGGGTTTCTACAAGATTTGAGATGTGTCCTGGCGCCTTGACAAGACCATAGAGGTCTCAGGGTTAGAGATTTAGCCCTGTGGGCTGATTTACAACAAACAAAAATGCTGACAGCTGCTCTCAACGTGCCTCAGGACAATCCACTCAGGAAACTCAGCTCCCCGCAGAAGACTGCCCGGTGCAGACAGACAGAGGGCAGAGAAACCGCTCTCCAACTGACTGCCTTCTGGATTTCCCCTGCTGCCACAGAGGTGTGTCCCGAGAGGTGACAGGGACCTGTCCTATGGTCAGTGCTGTTCCGCACGTCACATCAGGCTCCCACTTTGGTCTTTCTTCCCCTTCCCCCTTCTTTCATTCTCCCAGGCAGACAGAGTGCCTGCGGTCAACTGTCCCAATATTCCAAGTCAGCCTTCTCTAATGCACAAGTGCTCTTTCCTCTAATAAACCAGTGAATAATACTCAATGATGTCAGGGAGAGCTCTTGACAATGTTTAGAGAGCGGCTCATTAAACTGGTGTTAAGCAGTTGTAGAACAGGAACCTCCGGGGGCTACGGAGAGCCCGCCTCATTTCAGATTGGCTACCGACTGCATTCTGTCTCACATGGAGAGGGCGCTGGCGTCCTCTGAATGACAGGCAAACTAGGCTGCTAAGTCGCTGTGACTCAAATCACTGGGATGGCACCATCAGGGAACAGCCCAGCTGGGGAGGCCGGCCAGGTCCAGGATCCTCAGTCAGGCCTCTGCAGTGTAATCAGAGCAAGAGGGAGACTGACTAGCTGGTGAGCTGTCAAACCAGGTGCTCTGGGGACAAAGGAGAGGACAGCAGATCACAAGGCGAGTGCTTGACAGCTGGTCCTAAGTGTCGGCTCATTCACATTGCTTCCAACATCTCTGAATCACAAAGCCATAATGAAATCACAGCAAGTGGAACAGTTCCCTCCCCTAGTCTCAACTTCCCTATGCGAGCCAGCGACTGGTACTGGAAGTGGGCCTTCCCTGTTGAGGACTGGGATACTGTGAACTATGCGTTTGGTTTGTTTCCTGGTATAAAATTCCTAAGACCCTGGGGCTCCTCAAAGTGGGATTTCTTTTTGTATGCTAGTAACATGACTGGTACATCACTGGTCATTGGAGAGATGCAAATTAAAATAACACTAAGATTACATCTCACCCCATAGCTATTACCAATAAATCAACAAATAGGGGGCTGGGGATTTAGCTCAGTGGCATAAGTGCCTGCCTTGCAAGCAGGAAGTCGTGAGTTCGATCCCTGGTACGGTACCGATAAAAAGGAAAAAGACAAAAAAAAAAAAAAAAGAAGAAATCAACAAATAACAAATGGGGCTGTGGGAAAGGAAAAAGAAACCTTCTCTGGTGCAACCATTTTGCAGATCAGTGTGGAGATGGCTCAAAAAACTAAAAGTGGAGGTTCCATTGGATCCAACTGTTGGGCGCAGGCGCTCAACATACCATACCCCAACCGGGACTAAGGACCACGCCAGCTTCCGCAATGCGCTACCTCCCTCTTTAAATTAGCCAACCCGTGCGCATTTCGTGCTCACTCCGTACTCTGTGGCAACTCTTGATTGGCCACAGCTGGATATGGTAGCCGGAGCCTACATCCCATTCCCGCCCTGCTTCCTCGTGGCAGCCTGTGATTGGTCACGGCCAAATATATAAACCAGAGCCCGCGTAAATAAACCAGCAGTTAACTGTCGTCCACAAAAGCGTCTCCTGTCTCCTGTTTCATTGGAGCTGCGCCGGTCATCCAACTATCTCCCTTCTTGGTATCTTTCCAAAAGAATTAAAAGCATCATACTACAGCAATATATGCACATCCATGTTTTGCATGGTTTGCTATAGCCAAATCTTAGAAACAGCCCAAATGCCCATCAACTAATTAATAGATAAAGTAGATGTGGTTTTGTTTTTTTAATGTAACAGAGTATTACTCAGCCACAAAGAAAGATAAACGAGATATTTCTAATTAAATGGATGCACATTGAAACCATACTCTTAAGTGAAATAAATTGAACACACATGTGTAAATACTGCACATGTATTCTCTGACATGGCATCCATGGTTCTCTGGCATGAGAAACTGAGTACAAAAAAGGACCAAAATATATAATAGATATTATTGAATAGGAAGAAAATGCTCAAATGGGAAGGGGAACTAGGGAGGAAGGAGGGGAAAGGAAGGAAAGGAAAAGAAAAAAATAAGAAAAGAAGGAAAAATGGAAACAAAGGTTTTGTAAATAAGGAAGGGAAGAGGGTTGATGGGCAGGTAGGGGTGTGAGGGAAAAGAATTAGATGTTATCAGGTACAGGTGCAGCTTGTCTGTGATGAATGTGATCACCACATGTACCTACTATCTACCAATAAACAATTAATAATAATAAAGATGGTGGTGCCTGGAGCTAGTCCCAGGGGAAACCAAGGAATGACTGAAAAGGTTGGGGCTTTTTGGCTCTACCCTCCAGCCTGAAAGTTGCTCACAAATGGCCCAAACTCGGTGAAAAGTCTATTAAAAACCCAGAGGCACAGGGTTCTAACTTCCTGGACTGCTGGACATGTGATAGTAGCTGGAGGGTGGGAACCTACAGAGGGCAGGGAAGCCCTGCGCTCCGCTCCCAGACCTTTCCCAGTGCATCTGGATGTGTCATTCATAATAAACCAGCAAACATAAACGCCTCCTAAGTCCTATAAACAGCTCTCACAAACGGGTTGAACTCAAGGAGCTAGTTGTGGGAACCTACATTTCTGCGGCCATCGGAAGTGCAGGTAAAACTCCCTG